AAGGACCATACAAATGATGGCTTTTTGCAGCTACAGTTATTGCAATTTAATGGTGTAAATACGTACTCTTCTTGCTTATAAATGCATAAACACTCCTGGTAATGAAATGTCCAATACCAGAGCAACAAAAGGTATAATACGACAAATAATATCTTTTAACTGCACCATTATGAGATCAAACAAGTCACAAACAAGTATCATGTATCACGAGCGTTTACAATATAATAATCTTCCAAACAGATTCAGAAAATCACATTCCTCTCCTTCAAAGACACGCTGAAACAATGTTATCTCAATATGCTTTCTAACGTTTCAGATATATAACTACGGAATGCTTTGTATAATAGATTATCGTATTTCTTTAGATTTAAAACTGTCGCTTCCGCTGGTTTTATAAAATAATAGTCATATACAAGATGAATTGCTAATAATGCTAGATATTCTAATAATACAACTATATTTAGTTTTCTCCAAATATGTAAAGATCTATTATGTAACTGACAACTTATTACGTATGTATATATCCTTATGTTGGTATTATATACTCTGTTAAACATCCTAAATTCTTTTATCATGGGCCTTCCTAAGGGAGTCCAACTCCTGGAAGGCTCAGTCGTATTGTATAATGGAATATTATGCTTTATGTATCTAGTAAATTTGGCAATTTTTTTTATTCTGATTCTGATTCTAACCCCCCCCCCCCCGCCCCAACGACAAGAATGAGAAAGGGATTTAGGGGGATTTGTGAAATATGTGATTTTTTTTTGTATTAGGAAGTAACAACAATAATAATAATAATAATGATAATAATGATAATAATAACAATGATGATGATGATGATGATGATGATGATGATGATGATGATGATGATGATGATGATGATGATGATGATAACAATAAAAGTGATTTATAATAATGATAATAATAATAATAATGAGAAAAGTAATGACATCAACAAAAACAATAATAATAATAATAGAAATGGTAATAACGCTACCAAATAATAATAACAAATAATAAAAAATAAACCCATAACAACAGCAATACCATGTAGACAAATAAACAAATAAACAAGTAAATAAACAAACAAAAAAAAAGTAAACATAGATATCAATAACAACACTGATAACACGATAACGCCAAACCCCCAAAATCCAGCAAGCAAAAGAAATACTTACACGAACGCCTTCACTAAGCGGAGTGAGTGCGGAGACGCCCTTCGGAGCAACCTGTGGACTTCGCACACCACCTTCTCCCGGCAGTTTGCAGGCGTGTGGAGGGCCGCCCACCCTTCCTCGAGGTCAAGACTCTTCAGAAGCTTCGCCCAGGACACCTGACGGAGGGCCTCGTCCACCGTCTGCGTCTGGAAGGGCGAGGGAGAGAAAGAGGGCTTTGAGAGACTGGTCAATGGAGGAAGGCGAGGGGGGAGGGGAAGGGAAAGGTGAAGAAAAAAGGTGTCTGTGTGTAAACTAATTTACGTATGTGTATGTATACACGCACATACAAACACACACACACACACACACACACACACACACACACACACACACACACACACACACACACAAAAGGGGTGGGAAGAGAGAGAGAGATTACGTCTCAGGTTCAGGTGACGATCAGTAAGCAACTCAAAATTAAGAAAAATAATTTTTGCTTCTTTCTCTTTATGGTGATACTGTTAATACGATAATAATTATTATAATTATAATAAGAACAGTATTGATTATAACAAAAATAATTTTGATAATGAACAAAGATATCAACAAAGGATAAGGATAAGTCCGATATGCGAAGCTGAGCCTCGCCCGGGCTATGGGGGAGCCCGGCCTGTGCCGACTAATGTCGACTCGTTAACAGTGTGTCAGTAGAAGCTGACTCGGGTGAGCTTAGTCCTTACCCACCGTGGTGCCCAACCACAGCAGTAACCTTCAGGTGACAATTGCAACTTTTCGCGCCTGGGCGGGGCGCGAACCGCCGACCCCTCGGATGACAGGCCGACACGTTACCACTGTACTAGCCCGGAGGCTTAAGATATCAACATAGATAATATTATTATTAAATAAAACAACAGCAACCAAAACAAAAGCACAGCAACAACGACTACCAAGTACCAAATGAACAATAACAAACATATTATTCTAATAAAACAGACCATGAATTGCCTACATACTGTAAATCAGAATTCCTAACACCCTTGAAAAAAAAGCGGGAAATCAAGAATTGATCACACGCTGGAGTCAATCAGGCTTCTTTAATCGCAAACAAATCTAAAGAAAGAAATTCGAGGAACAGCAGTCCTGCCTGTAATTTATCATACAGCGTCTTCTGTAAGCGCCATAATAGTTAATCCTGTATTAAAGTTTAATGCTCAATGGTAACTTGCCGGATCAACTTTTAATACATCACTGGACCAGGCTTTACTATTGAGCTAAGTTTAATCCTGCACATGTTGAGTTGTCACTAATATTTGCAATAACGAAATAAATTCATACATTTTTATGCCAAAGATGCATGCGAAAATTCATCAATATATATTGTTATATTGTGGGATCTTCAAGCTTTAGATATAACTCTCAACACTGAAAAGAAAAACGAAAAGAAAATCCCACAGAGAATTCCAGTTTACAGAAACAGAAAAGACTAGATTAATTCCAGGTTAGGAAAGCATTCCCATCGTGTGCAATATTCTAATGGAATGAAATGGATTTTTTTTTACTAACTTCACTCATCAGTTTCAAATCCAAAGTACAGACTTTCTGATTCTTTAAACTAATTTAAAGAACTGATTAAATTTGTTATCATGATCCTCACCAGCAGTATCCTGAAAAAGCTACCCTACCCGTGCCCCTCGTTCACACGTCATTCGACTTTACAATCTGTAGACTAAAAAAGCGTCGCTAGCCGGATATTCAACTGTTTTTTTTTTCCATATAAATATGCCATAGTCAAATAAGCACAATCTGAAAAGTGTAGACGATGTAATTCTAATACACGAAAACCATACCAAAGAAATAAATGCTATTACAAAATTATATCCACTACCACTTTGTAACATGCTATGAACACACACAACTTAAACCTGTAGATTAAGACATTTTATTTACGTCCACGTTAGAACTTTTAATTTATCGAATAAACACACAGCATATTTTTTCACAGTATTACCTGAATGTAGAATATAGTTGTAAGGTTGTAAAATGCAGTAAGGAAATATATACCCTACCCTCAACCGCATTATGGAGTGTAGACTAAGCTTACCCATCTTCAATAAGCCAAGGGATTCCTTGACAAGATAAATACTGCATCGGATGGGTTTAGCAATGGTCAAAGCCTGATGTAAACCAGATTTTTCCTACTTACATAGATCGCTAGAAGTACCTTATGGGATTTATTCATTTATGCAATATAAATAAAATTTGCAAATGTAATGCAATATTATAAAATATATATATATATATATATATATATATATATATATATATATATATATATATATATATATATATATATATATATATACACACACACACACACGTGTGGTCCTATAATATATATCCGCATTCCTTGCTTTCAAAAAGTTTCCAACCTAAGGTGATAACTGTTGAATAACAGTTTAAATATGGATTGTGTTTCGCTGCTGTAGATCTGAGGGAATATTATATATAGCTAACGACACTTGCCATCTTTGTACTCTTTTGATATAATTGTAAAATTGCCACCAGGAAGAGCTGTCAGAAAACCTGAATATGCGGTCATTACTGCATACCATAATGGTGTGGTATGCATGTGTATATTTTTTTTTCTGCATCAAAAACCTCGCTCTTAACATCACCAGGTAGTATGTAAATGGTCAAGGGTAAATGACAATCATAATTAGACAAATACCAGTACTTTCATGTAAAATGACATGTTTACTGATAGACACAGCAATGTGTACACTGAGATGAAAGGAAAACATCCACAGTAAGAAATTAAAATAAATCGTGGCGTTTCGAACTCTTCACGAGTTTCTCTTCAGACGAATAATAAACCAAATGGATACAAGGAGAGGATTCTGACAAGAATATATAGTGGTAGAGAGACAGAACGAACAAGAGCTGAAGCAGGTCTCAGGAGGAGGGTCAAGGTCGAAGAGTCTGGGGAAGGCTTAGCTAACTAACGAGGAGGTAGGGTCATCCAAGCCCCACTGACCTGCACTCAAGGTAAATTTAGGCCTTTTTCTAATTAATAAAGTTTCTAGCATTTTTCTAGTTAAGCTAGTGACCTTCATCATGTCAATGAACGAAACACGCATTTGATTCTCTGGCATATTTAACATCACGTTATGTTCATTAATTCTCTTCTCGAAAGATCTACTCGTCTCGCCTGTGTAAAACTTGGGGCAATCCATACAAGGTGTAGTGTAAATAATGGGAGTAGTCTCAAGAGCACCGCTAGCCGCATTGTGCTTAACCAGTGTATTACGCAACATGTTCGGATACGTAAAAGCAATGTCAATTCCAGCGCCTTTAAACAAATGTCGTTTTTCATTGAGGGACGGGTTATACGGAATAATTAATAGATTACTGGCACTATCCTCTTGAGTATTACGGCGGGAACGAGTATAAAATTTCCATCTCGCAGATGGATTTGCCTGATATTCATTTCTTACTGTGGATGTTTCCCTGTTTATATTTACTGATAATCACACTGATTCGTGCGTCAGACGGGTGTGTTTTGCATCTTCGGTGTAAGTATTAAGGATTTAGATCAAACTTTAATACGGTATTAACTTTATTGACACGCACAGAGGACGCCTTTACAGAACGTAAAAGTATGAGAAAGAAAACATTAAGGGTGAAAGTGTAAAAAGAAACTACCAAAGAAACTATACGAGTGGAAGAAAATGTCAAGTGGGAAAGAAAACGTCAAAGGGGAAAAGAAAATTGTCAAGTGTGAAAGAAAACGTCAAGGGAGAAAGAAAACGTTACGAGGATAAGAAAAAACTTCAAGGAAGAAAG